ATATATATTAATTACAAGACAATAATTTAATTATTTATTAAGTTAAATGACAAAAAATATAAAAAATACATTATTATTTAATTGGTATTTATTAACTTAAATAACATAGAATATATTAAAAATACATTAGATGTTAAAAAATGGAGAAGTTATTAAATTGCAAATTATTTGTTTAACTTAATTATAATGGAAGAAAATTGACATACAAATTTACAGAAATATTCCAACAAATTATAAATAAATGGCTATTATAAATATATAAACATATATATATATATATATATACATATAAAGTGAGTAATTAAATTATATATTTGACAAAGATCAAAGCATAAAATGTGTAATATAAACATGATTTTAATATTATAATGATGATGAGGATGAGCATGATGATGATGTTGACTTTGTTGATAATAAACTTGATTGATATAATGATTTTGATGATCATTATCATGATGGTGACTATGGTGGGTTTGAAAGAAAGCATGATGGTTACTACAGATTGTTGTTTATTGTTGTGTTGTTAAGATAGTCTGAAGTAAAATGCTTGCCCCCTGAGTCACTGCTGGTAATCCAGATGAATCCATACAAATACTGTATAGCCTCCAAATATTTAAGGCTTAGGTTAATTTCATTTTATCAGTTTTTTTTTTAAACATGTGTTTGGGTCAAGCTAGCTAATATTTTTACCATAGCAAAGTAAATATTCAAATTGTTGCTGTTTTATTAGTGGCTATCCAAGAATTTGGAGTAGAGGGAGCCCCGGGAAGGACTTTCATAGATGGGCAATTTATACAACGTCAGCCCCACAATGGTTGTGGCTGAGATAACAAAATTTATGATTATGGCACCTCCAGATGGCCGGAAAAGGCACTCACAGACTTCATTTTGAATATCATTTTCTTTTTTTCTCCATTGAAAAAAAAAATTGTACAATTTAAGGGGTTCCGGTTGGCTCCCCTTGAAAAGTCTGCCACTGGTCATTATTATTACAATAATATTTATCACCTGTTTTACAATTATTCCTGTAGCTATGAAATATATAAATCAAAAATGCAAATCCATCAGTGAAAGCAACAAACATCATCAGGAGGATCAAGTTGTGGACCTTTTGACGTATCTACTGGCCAAAGAAAAGCTCTCGATGAGTGAAATATGTGGCAATGTGGCAGAATTATTACTAGGAGGTGTGGACACGGTACGTAGATAATATACCATGTGACAAATACTGGATGAGGATTAGAGAAGAAGCATTTGGTGTAGTAATTTCAATTTTTCTCATGATGTTTGAATTCCACCTGTATTGCAGTGCACTTTATCCATGCTGTCTGCCCACCTATGGACATGGGTGGTAGGTTGCTATGTGAGTGCTGTGGTTCACCTCAGCCCCTCGTGTTGTAGAAGGAGGTGACTAAAGCACCTCTACTCAGCAGCTCTGATGCTCACTGATTCCCCCACTATGCAATGCAGCCAGGTGAATGCAGCACAGTAATGCTACAAGTTACAGGTTAATTACCTACTTTACCTTTACCTTTTATCTTGTATTTTTTCATAGACTTCGCATACTCTACTGTGGGCAATGTACAGGCTTTCAAGAGCGCCAGACTGCCAAGAACGTCTACACTCAGAGTTAGTGAGTGTGCTAAACGGAGCACCTCTTAATGAAGACAACATTAACCAACTTCCATACCTCAGGAGTGTCATCAGGGAAACGCTAAGGTAAATTGAGTGTAAAGATAGTGTGTCAAGTCACATCAGAAGGCAGCAAATCTATCACTCATTTGAATCGTAAGAGAACTCTTTGGGTAACATGTAAGCACAAATCTGTCAAGACAAATTTTAAAAGTTGCTGAAGTAAAATTTTTCTACAACAATTAAATTGTCTTGTAATCAATTTAAGAATTGTTTTCATTGGTTTTGTTAAGTTAATAATGTTAATAGCTTTATAATATTTTTATTGAATTATTGGAGGTGTTTTTTGACAGAAGTATATCTTTAAGACCACAATATTACTGTGTTAGTAAAACATTTTCTACGTACATTTGTTAGGTTGCACCCGGTTGTTGTTGGCAACAGCAGAATTCCAAAGAAGGATATAACACTTCAAGGATTTAATGTTCCAAAAGGTGTAAGTAGCAATTTTCCATCACATTACAATAATTCCAAACAATAAAGAAAATGTAGATTATAGGAAGAGTAAAGCTGAGACCAGTGGCTTATCTAGGGGAAGAGGGCTAAAAAGGTGGGGAGTGGGGAATGCTATGGGAGATGTTAGGTGCCAGGTGATTTAGAACTACTTGAGTATACTTTTGGGTTAAATAATTTCCAGGGGTTTTCACTTAGTTGGGGTGTGGGGCTTATTTTTTGAAGAGGGGATGGGCATGTGACACACACACGCCCAAATAGACACACTACTGGATGAGACATTGCTGTTTTAGGAAATTATATTAAGACTTGAAGAAACATTAAACTAGCTGGGCAGACAACTAAAAGCCAAGACTATAAAATTTGATCTGACAAACACATGCGACATAGCTAAATATGTCCATGACGAACATATTTATATGCACATCATGACTACTGTATATATGGGCATACAACAGTTGTTTGTCAAAGAAAATACAGTGGACATATTTTAACATTTTATTATAATCATGGTTAAAGTGGTACCCCCTTCCCCATATATTTGTGTGCACATTTTTCTTCTATGCCTGTACAAGCTCTTTTGTAGGCAAAAAAGATTAGATCTATTTGATTGTTCATATTCTGTTATTTTTTCTAGACATTGGTCATGATGGCGAATTATGCAATGTCAAGAGGTGAAGGAAACTTTGCAGACGCTAATGAATTCAAGCCAGAACGATGGCTTAGAGGAAACGATGAAAGCAAAATGAATAAATTTGCCTCACTACCATTTGGTTACGGAACCCGTATGTGTGTTGGTAAGCTTACAACATTTTACAGATTTGTTGTATTCCCCTTTTTTGAAAATAAAACAATGAATTTAACTTCTGTTTTGGTTTCAAATAAATTTCTGTCATTTTTAATGGACCATAAAAGTCTTGAATCTTAAATGCTATATGTTGGAAAGCCTATGTTCATCATCCCGGAATACTCCATCATTTTTAGTTATACCAATTTTTTTTACCTGTTTGAATGTACTATAAATTATGGCGCACACTGAACAACGGTCAGCCAACAATCGGTGACAATCATTCTGCACCCAAGTTAGGCTTGTCTAAACATGATGCCCTCACTCACTGAGTAAATCATTGTTGAAGACGATGTGTTGTGCACACCTTGTTTCCATGTTGTGGTCTGCATTGTATTGTGTTTGCTGATGCAGTTTGATCCAAGCATAAAATAGGAAATACTTTTTATTTTTATTAATATATTTATTATATATCTTTTTGGAAGTGTGTTAATGTCTCTGTAGTGATGAAAATATCTTGTTCTTTCCAGGAAAGCGGCTTGCAGAAATGGAAATCAAAATATCACTTTCAAAGGTAAAGAAGCTTCAGAAAGATAATGCCTTTAATAAATTCCAATTAAATGCACCATTTTAAAATAGAGAAGTTTAATATGGTATGTACATATTCCAGCTCCTAATGGAATTGGTAAGCCTGTAATGTTTCTGTCAAATGTAAACACTCTGACAAATTTGTCTCTTTGTTGTGGATGAGACTTTAACTAAATATATTTTTGGATACTCTGGATTTACATGAAAAAAAATATTGCATGGGCAATTATCAATTGCAAATGTGGCTAATAAATTTCACAGTTTAGCTCAGTTGCTAAAGCTTTAAACCTTTTCTTTCAGATTTGCTTGAAGTTTTTTTTGGAGCCAACAAATGATGAAGAGCTTGTCGGAAAGTTAAGAGGCATATTGATTCCAGAAAAAAACATTCCAGTCAAGTTTGTGCATAGAAATGTGATGGAAGAATAACCTATTAATGGCATATAAACTGAATAAGTAATAGAGTACTGTAAATAACATGAATATTTTATTACCTGTATTTTTATATAGATTTTAATGACAGGGTTGGCAAAAGCATGGTTTCTCATTGAACTGCAATATCTCAACTACCTCTTGTACAAAATAATTGTACAGTGAAATCACCAAGGGCTTTCGTTATTTGTCACAGTAATCAAATGTTTATGACAGCATCGACACATATATAATATCAGGAATACTTAAAAAATCAATGCATTATAGTGATGCTACACAGCCTGGTATGTTTTACTTTGAGTAAACATCTATTGTACTGTTCTTTTTTTTGTACGTACAAATAGGTACCGCAATAGCTTAATGACAGGGTTGGCAAAAGCATGGTTTCTCATTGAACTGCAATATCTCAACTACCTCTTGTACAAAATAATTGTACAGTGAAATCACCAAGGGCTTTCGTTATTTGTCACAGTAATCAAATGTTTGTGACAGCATCGACATATAATATCAGGAATACTTAAAAAATCAATGCATTATAGTGATGCTGCACAGCCTGGTATGTTTTACTTTGAGTAAACATCTATTGGTACATTGTACTGTTCTTTTTTTTTGTACGTACAAATAGGTACCGAAATAGCTTCTTTTCACTAAATTGCATAATATATGGGTATGTTCCGTGTTATAATGATGCTGCACAGCCTGGTATGTTTTACTTTGAGTTAACATCTATTGGTACATTGTACTGTTCTTTTTTTTGTACATACAAATAGGTACCGAAATATCTTCTTTTCACTAGGCTGAGTGGTAGTATGAGAATGACTTGCAGTGGTGTGCTAAATTGCATAATATATGGGTATGTTCCGTGTTATAGTGATGCTGCACAGCCTGGTATGTTTCGCTTTGAGTTAACATCTATTGATACACTGTACTGTTCTTTTTTTTTGTACGTACAAATAGGTACCGAAATAGCTTCTTTTCACTAGGTTGAGTGGTAGTATGAGATTGACTTGCAGTGGTGTGCTAAATTGCATAATATATGGGTGTGGTCCGTGTTGACTGTAGCAGTCGTTCATTAGTACTTAGTATTTTTACAACAAGAAGGGCTGCATCATGGTACCTCTACTCTTCTAAAAGGTGCAATGGTTGAAGTTCCTATCTGAGAAGACTTGGTTGTGAACTGAATCCTGAGTGAAGAAAGCCCTGATGCATCAATGTAAAGGTTGTATGTAGCGGCCACCTGCGCTATAGCTTGGCCACTCGACTCGTCAAACATAGTATGGAAAGCTTGGGTCTTATAACAATTAACTTCAATTTGTAGTGATTACTGTATCATGTTTCCTGTATTAGTATCCACCAATGTCAAGTGTAAAGAGTGACAAAATGTGAGGCGCTAGAATCATTTAATTATGGTTTCAATGCTTTGGTTGTTAAAGCTTCACTGTACACTTTATATTTTTAAGTTATTGAAGAGATCAGATGTGATGTACATCCGTTGGCCAACAAGAATTATATATGGCCGGTACTTGAGTATGGTCACTCTCTAGAACTCAGGCCTTGCCAGAGAGCATATTGATCAAGTGCATTCAAAGAAGCATTTAACATTGGCATTCTGGCTGATGAATTCACCAGTTTTGAAAATTACATTTTGAGGCTTGGACTGGAGAGATTGGCCACCCATACTTATGTTATCACTATGTACAACATTTCAGGGCTACAAAGTTTAGTAAATGTTAAGACTGGACTCTTATTAGCAATTTATCTTCTGCTGTGACAACTCTCCTCAAGACTAATCCATAGTATATATTTGCACTAAATCATGAATTTTTAATAGCCCACTGCATCATATGACCAACATCTTGAACTCTGTGGAGTGGTCAGAGAGGTAGATGTTGAGATGCTTGGCCGCACATGACTCTTTGGACAGACCACAGTTAATGATTGGTTCATGTTTTGAATTGTCTTTGATCGACATTGCTGTATTTGTAAAATGAATGCAATGCATAGTAAGTCCCAACAAGTGGTTTTAATGTGGTTTATTAAAATTGAATTGAATTAAGACAGTGTATTAAGGTAAATTCTGATTTGTCTTCGATATCTATTTTTGTATTTTTACAATTTTCCTAAAAATTAAGATCAGCTAAATCATTAAATAAACTCAAATCGTGAATAATGGATTCATATGATTAACAGAATCACAAATTTAAAAGCAACTAAGTAAGGATTAAACAGTTAGTTCTCAAACATGTTTGAGCTGTATCACACAATCATCATGAAGGAACTAAAAGAAAAGAATTAAATACTTAACAAACCAGCCACGTCAGCTTACCACCACCACGTATGCTTAGAAGCGGTTTGGCGTAGTGAGAAAGGGTTTGATTTCCCAACCTCCTCTAGGTCAGGGCTTCAATCTCTCGATGTGCATTTTGCTTGTGTCTTTGAGTAAGGCACTTTTTATCTGCATTGCTTCAATCCACCCAATGATATTTTTAATTCTAAATATATTTTTAGATTGTATATTTTACTTTAAGTGGCGTTATATCGCTGTTGGTGAGGGTTATAAATCAAAGAAAAATAAAATAAAAGGCGTATTATAAATTCTCGTACCAGTACAGTACCATAAATGCCCAGTACCAGTGATGCAGGTGTTTTAAGTAATGATTATTCATACCTTTGACACGTCAGCTTATACTTCTACCATTAGTGTACGTATACAAGTGGTGCAGGTGTTGTAAGCGGGAAATGAGCTTTCTCTACTTTTGAAGTGTCTTTTAATGACTTTTTAAGTTTTTCAAAATTCAAGGTTTCCCCCCCCCCCCTTTTTGAAAATGGTCAGGTAAATTTTACTCATTCTTATTACAGTAAGTATGCCTATTATGTGTGTAAGGCCTATATAAATATTCAACAATAATGCTAACAATAGAATAAATAAATAATCATAAAGGTCAGAGATACTGAAGTGCTTAGAATTAATATTAACCCATGCATTGTTAAAAAAAAAAAAAAAAAAAAAAAAAAAAAAAGTAAACAAAAAAAAAAAAAAATCAGCTCACTGGTCCTGAAAATGTAGGTCTAGAATTTTTTTTTTTTATCTTATATTTTCTTTTTCTTTTTGCCCAAGGGAGGGGTTAAGGAAACCCCCCACCCCCAACAGGTCCGCCAATAAATTGCGAGAAAATTTAACTCGGTCGGGGACTGGATAAACAATCTCTTTCCCCTCCCTCTTCCCTCTTTCTTGCATTTCTTTCCGATCATACAACAATCTGCATAGACATAATTTTCTGCCAAAAAGTGGTGGGGGGGGGGGTTTAAAAAAGGTTAAAGGTTATTCATTTATATTGTGCAAATACGAGTCTCTATGTCTCTATAACTGGAAAATTTTTAAAAAGGGGGTGGAGGTCGCTAGCCATGTTTTCTACCCTACTCACTTACCACTGAGGAAGAAGTGTCCAAAAGCTCTTGTTCTATTTCTGGTTATACACGTTTACTTTTTAGCTGTTGCTTGCTGAATTAGATAGTAAGCCTATAACCATATATATACATATTTCAAGTATCGAAATGCACGCCCATCGTGTCGGGATTTTGAATCTCGACACGATGACGTGCACTTCGATACTTGGAGTATGTACTATACTATCTTATCTGAGATTAATCAGTGGACCTCTCGGTTTCTTGCTGAATTTGTACCGATATCTATCCATTGTTTCCCAAGGCATTGTTGTTTCTCAGTGTATTATCTTTTAATTTCTCTATCTATATCTATCGAATCAATCTTTATTTAAAACAGTAACAAGAATGTAAGGTAATGGCCTTATCAGAAAACAAAAACAATTTTATTTTTAATTTTTTAAAGGTGCACAAATTGGTTAAAAAAATGTACCGTAATGTAAGATAGTGTACAGGGCCTATTGGCAAGAATTTGCCGATTCACTCACTCAGGTGAGTGTCTGGCGTTCCAAATGGCCTAGCCACTAGCCAATGCAGCTTGCTAATTTGTTTTATACGTTTTACATCTTTGTTATTACTTATTAAAAAATATTCTTTAATCTACGTTTCATTTCATGGGAATACTCCCAAGAAGCCCAACCTCCAGGCAAATCAATGTATAACCATTATCTTAAATATCGTTGAGGATGTCTTCATATTTTCTACATTTATAATTATTTGCCTTGGTTTTATTTGGTTCGAGTGGCACCGTCAATTCAATGATCTTGGTTGCCACGGTTAGATAACTAAATGAAAAAGACAATGAGATGACAACGTCGACTTTGTATAAAACATTTATTCAGAACATGAATATTTTGACCCTATTACAAAAATCTTTGATTATAATATACTGTATAATATGATTGTTCGAAAATATAAATAATATATACTTATTATATTGTGGTAACAAATAAACAAATTGGGAGGTGTCATCTTAAAGAGGCTTTTATTTATTTAAACATATATACAGGATACAATTTCAGACAAGATATTACAGTCTGCTTATAAAATGGTCCTGTTTAAGACAATTATCATAGAATATAAAAACAAATTAAAAAAATGGTCTACAGTACAAGCATCACAAAACGCTTAAAAACATTTAATTAATTTATCAAGCTCAAATTTCGAAAATCAGTTTACGAATAATCCAAAATACAGTTTGTCCAATCAATTGAAAATCACAAAATTACAAATGAGAATGCCAATCAGTGTGGAAACATCGATCTTAGTCAACACTTTTAAGGAAGGAGGTAAACAATGACAGTGAATAAAGGAACACAGCCTAGGTTTAGAGCAGGAGCCCAGGGGTGTCAGCATAGCTGGAAAGTTAACATGACACGTTACATGTAACATGAGTGACCACAATGACAATCAAACATTTGTGGTGGAGTTAACCAGAGGAAACATTGTTTAGCATAGTACCAGTGGCCACTGCCGAACATTTATAGTGGTGGGGTGTACCCACCAAACGTCTCCTTATTTCCCACTACCAGAATTGACCTAGATTAGGTAATGAGTTAACCTGATGAAACTTACTGTGTAAGATGTTCATTGTAGTCCAAGTTATTATGAATGGCCACTGTCAGACAATTCTGATGGTGGGGTGTGTCTGCCAGACACCCCTTATTCCCCGCCCCAAAAATTTACCTAGATTATGGAAAACTTCAAGGTTGGGTGACTCCACCTCCTCTCCTCCCCCATAACTACATCCCTGAATTTGCAAAATGTAGGCCCATTATAGAATACTATATCATCTTTTATTATTTTTAGTAGTCAATATTACAACAGTTTAACAATGAGATTCTATACAGGATTGAAATTTTATGAATGCCCAATATTCAGTACGAGTAGATTTCCAGTACAAATAAAAATTGTAATGTAACTGGGTTTATTCCATTCGTAGAAGCCTTTTGATAAAGAAAGTTTCCTTTTTAGGAAGAGTTGCCTCGGTTAAAACTCACTCGGACTATACGAAATTAATTATAAGCTTGAATTGTTAATCTTAATGTAAGGAATACTACAGTAACTTCACGTTTAATTTTAATTACAAGTTGAATTATACAAAATTCAAATTAAATGTCGTAAGTATATAGTTTGCCTATTTTTCTAATTTGCTTTAGAAAAATCTAGAAACTTTTTTTATTACAGAAATGTTAAATTTGCCTTATTTGCTCACTTGGTAGTGCTTTAGATAAATTTTGAATTGGTGCTATGTATATTTGTTATGTACAATTATCAGTACCGGTAGTGATTAAAGACCAAAGTTTGTGATTATTTATGAAATCATCACAAACTTTGGTCTTTAATCAAATTAGTAATATGATACTAAGTAGATAATACTAGTAATTGGTACATAACAAATACTTATATAGCACCAATTCAAAATTTATCTATTAAGCACTACCAAGTGAGTAAATAAGGCAAGTTTAACATTCCTGTAATAAAAAAGTTTTTAGATTTTTCTAAACCAAATTAGGCAAATAGGCAAACTATATACTTACGACATTTAATTTTAATTTTATATAATTCAACTTGTAATTAAAATTAAACGTGAAGTTACTGTAGTATTCCTTACAATAAGATTAACAATTCAAACTTATAATTAATTTCATAAAGCCCAAGTGAGTTTTAACTTAGGCAACCCTTCCTAAAAAGGTACACTTTCTTCATCTAAAGGCTTCTACGGATGGAATAACCTGTTTATTGAAGCTCGAACTCCTAAACCCAGTACTATTACGACTTTTAATTGTAGGGAAATCTACTTTACTGAATATTGAGCATTTATAAATTTTAAATCCTGTATAGAATCTCATTGTAAAACTGTTGTAACATTGACTACTAAAAATAATAAAAAATTATATAGTATTTCTATATAGTATTAGTACTTGAAGTTTTCCATCAAGTCTGAAGCTAATTTCATGGCTCTCCACCCACCCTTATTAACCCACACTTCCATCCTTGCATTATAATAGACTCTTATTTAGAGTAGGGGTGGGCATAAAAATAAATCGGAGAGCCAAAGTGAATTTTCTATTTAACACCGAGGGCCGAAACCTAGCTTTGATGTTTCAAATGTGCTTCCAAAAACCTTCATGCAGTGCTTTTATGTCATTTGATTCTCAGTTTTAATATTACTTTTTACAGGTGATCAGTGTCGGGCCGTAAAAGACTAGGGTTTGCTATAAGTGTGCCCACCACAATACCGAACACTTCACAATTACTTTTATCACGTTAACTTACTAGATAATACTAGATAATCTAGTTTTATCGGGTAACTCCACCACAAATGTTTGACTGTCATTGTGGTCACTCATGTTACATGTAACATGTCATGTAACATTCCACAGGTTAACTCACTAGATAATCTTGATCATTTTTCCCCCTTTTTTTGGGGAGGGGGGTGGTAGATACACCACACTACCAAAAATGTCTGACAGTGGCCATTCGTGATACCTGGTGCTATGCCCAATATTTGCAATGCGTTTGATCGTGTCGTGACTCACAAGCTGATCTATGTTAATTTTTTTTTGTGGGGAGGGGCAGGGTATAAGGGGGTGTCTGGCGGGTACACCCCACCACTAAAAATGTCTGG